TTCTGCCACCTCCCTGGGAAGAGCATTCCAGTACTTTATTATTCTTTTGGTGAAAACCTTTTTCCTAATATCCAACCTCTACCTTCCCTGAGACTGTGTCCTCTGGTTCTGTCAGTGCTGCCCAGTGGGAAAGACCGACCCCACCTGTCTGCAGCCTCCCTTCAGGAAATTGTAGAGAGCAATAAGGGCACCTCTGAGCCTCCTCTTCTCCAGGCTAAACAACCCCAGCTCCTTCAAATGTTCCTCAACTCCTTCCATGACTCCTGATGGAGCAGCAGGCATGGCTGTGTGGATGGAGTTGCCTTCCAGACCCAAAGGCTTCTGCTGCTCCTCCAGGCCGTGCTTCCCCACTGACTGCTCTTGCTCTGCCCTGCCAAAAGAGGTGGGAGATATCCAGGTCCTGCATGGTTTTCATTTCCCCCAGGTAAGTAATTAAAAAAAAAAACCCACTGTGCAGCAATTTGATCAGAAAGAGTTGTTGTTCAAGAGTTGTGGATGGGGACTGTGAGGTTGCTGCCAGCCAACTCACCTACCCCAACAGGGCAATCCCTCACACCAGCTGAGGAGCAGTATTCCAAAATTATTTTCTTCCATAGAAACACCTCCTCTCTCCTCACAAAATCATCTCTAGTAATTATTAAAATTAGTCAACCATCTCCCAAAGTCACAAGTTGCAGACTAAAACCAGAACCAGCGAAAAACCTCCCAAATACAACAATTCTGCACTGCAAAGCACCAATTGCGTGGAAATGTGCTGATTTCACCAAAAAGCTCTATAAAAGGCAACAAGATTGGCCAGCAGGCCAGTCTGTCCAGCTTCCTGCCAGGCTGCCTGCCAGTCCCAGGGTGGGTACTCCCAGCTCCCTAATTCAAAAAATAAAAATCAGCTATGAGAAGAATGGGGATTTTGCTTCCTGTAGCTTACTGATTAAAATAAATATTGCACAGGTGTGTGTCAGAAAGGTAGGGACAACTCTGCTATACACAGCAAGAATGGCTTCTCAACAACAGAAAAATTGTATTTTGAAAGACAGATGCCATTGCTAACAGCACAGGAGGGAGAGGATGAGACATCCCTGCATAAATCTGTGAGTGGGAAGACAATGGCAAAGAAATCCAAACGGCAAGACGATAAATCAGAGGTGGGGAATCCCTGTCTTATCCCTTCTGCAGCGTGCACGCAGCTATTGTATTTAATTAAAATAAATTACAGCTCGCTTGTGTACAGCCTGCAGGGCTTTTAACACCCCTGAACGGAAGCCCAGGGATAAGCAGCCACCCTCCAGGAGCTCACTCTCTGTGTCTCCAGACGTGGGATGCAGATGCTCTGTCACAGCACAGCCCCAGCAAGGCTGAGGGATGGAGGCAGAACAAAAAGCCCAAACAGTTCTGCTTTTACACCATCCACTTCCTCAGCTCTGTCCCTGGGATCCTTGCCAGGATGCTGGTAATGTTTTAAATGGAGCAGGCAGAGCTGCCCAGCAGTGTGGCAGCTGCTTCTGAGCAGGGATGTTTCACTGGAGAGGGGCTTCTTCTAACAGCAGAGATTTAACACTCTGCAAACTAAATTTCTGCAACACTTGGCTGAGCAGGATCAATGCACTTTCCTGGTTAACCACTGCATCCACACCCTCTAATTCCTGCTTGAATTCACTCCACGTATTTGCAGCAGCAGCACCTGAGGACAAGAACGTCTCCCTGCACTGAGGTTCACACTCACTGTGCCCCAGTCTGGCACAGGAGCATCAGTCCTGCACTTCTGAGGACCAGGAGCTGAGGAGATGCACAGGTGCTGAAGCGCTGTGCCACACAGCTGAGGATGCTGCAGAGAACACTGATACCCTGAAAATGCTTTTGGGGGGTACAAACTGAGTTTGCAGCATCACCCAGGTCAGCCACCCACACACAGTGCTCCAGGCTCTGGCTGATTTCTGTGCAAGATCAGCCTGTGAAGGTCTGTTACACCAGGAGCTTGGAAACTCTCAGCTGCTGAATACAATGAAGAAGGAAACACCTCTTGACAGATCATGTCCCCAAAAGAATTGGAGGCACAATGTACCCAACAGGACTCTGGATTTGGAGCTGCTCAGAGGATGCTCAGACTGCAGAAAGGAGCATCAGCTCAGCATCAACCTGACCTTCAGCAGCTGCAGAATATCAGTCGATCCACAGCATTCGGGAAAAAAAATATTTCTATTTATTCTTCTCCTTAGGAAAGCGTAAGTGAGGAGGAAATGGATTTTAAGTAAGCTCAGAGAACTCCATGATAATACTAATTCAAGATTTTGAAGTGCTTTACCAACAGCAAGTAAAACACACAGATCTCTGACAGGAGAAATGAAGCAGGAAAATGCAAAGCAGCTTGTCCAAGCTTATGCAACAGATGAGAAGCAAAAACAACACACAGATCTCCAGGCTCCATCTCTGTGTCCTACCATTCTTTCATTTTAAAAACCTAAATCCATTCTGCACTCCATCAAGGTTTTCCACATAGATTTAAGTGTTAATTCTGGGCTGCTTAGACTTTCCTTTTTTCTGATGTGGTATCTCAGCCATTATCTCCTCATCTGTACACAAAGAATATAAAAGGAATTAGATTTCAGAGCCAAGGAAACAGGGAAAAAGAAGGAAGTCCTAAATTTTTATCTAAAGCCGAATTTTTTTTTCATATGGGCACAGTGAATACAGATTTGAAGCAGCACTCCATCCTATGAAGAGAAAAACCATTGCTTGGAAACTACAAAAACTGAAATTGCTAAGATGCTACTAAATGTATATATATATATATTTATGATGCTTCTATTTCCTGTACTAATATCATGTATAATACATTTTATGTATTATCTGCTCAGATGCAGACACACCTCACTGCAGGCAGAGATGAGGCAATTATCCCAAACACTGACAAACCATCCTTTAGCCCCACGAAGGGCAGTGAGTAACACAGATCACTCCAGCACACAGCTCGTGTGGCACAAGGACTGCTCCTACAAAAGACACATGAAAGGTTCTCAGTGTCCATGCTGGTGCCAGAGTTTTCTCTGTGGAGCCACCTCACCAAAGAGAAAAGGCACAAAAAGGAAACCTAAGAACTCATCTTAGCAAGCTCCTCTTTTTTTCTGCAGAGCACACATTAAACTTACAAGTACTTTCACATCTGACAGAAATTAAAAGCTCTCTTTTAAAACCAACTGGTGTTTTTATGTTTCTAAGTCATCCAGAAGGCAGCACTGTCAAATGGAGAGTTTCTCTTTGAATACCCACTGTCTGTGTGAATGGCTACTCCCCTCACTGACCCCTTCAGGGTTTGTCTCCTTTCATGCCATCCACACCCATGGACCTTCTCAGAAGAAAAGGGACCCCTAAAGAGGAAAATGGCTTTCTTTACTGAAAGAAAGTCACTGCTGTCTGCAATTTTCTTTCCAAACCCTCCTTCTCATTCAGAGTAAAGGGGAATATGCTCTAAGATACCTACTTGCTCAGAGATGAGCCAGGAGTGAGCTCTTCCTGAGGTCAGATATTGGGGTTTTACTGATGAAGAGATAAAATATTAATATTTATTGTTGTGCCTGAGATCTGAAGCAGCCCTGGTGCCCTCACTTCACAGGTACAAGTGACAAACACAAATGACAAAGCCACTTGGTGGGAGGTACATGAGTTAGCAGAATGCTTCCTCAGCCAGTAAAGAGCTTCTGATCATCTGGTCCCTTTTAAGATCAGCCTCACACAACCAACCAAAAATTCAAAGAGGGCTATGACAGAAAATACTTCTACCAACCCTAAATATGTCTGTGTGCATGGTACAAGTGTTTCTATTCTGCAAGACATCAACTGGAATCAATACAATGCCATGACACAGCCTACTCTTGCCAAGAGCCTACAGGGCAGATGGAATTTCGGAGTCCATCTTTTAAATGCAGAGGTTGTTCTCTATTGTGACTGTAACAAAAGTTATTTTGGATCATTTTAAAGGACATCATTGAAAAAATGAAGCTTTATGCCTGGCAGGAAAAGCACCTGATGAAAATGCACAGTCAAAATGGAATTATCTCTGTTTGGCAGGTAAGGCCTGTAGGAATACAAGGCTCCGTTTTCCAAAACAAATGTAAGAGATTTAATCTAATTTATTCATTAATCTGCTCAAAACCTTGGGGAAGCTGCTTTGCTTCCTTTTCTGAGGCAAGAAAGAGAACCAAGAACTCCAGATCACAAACCCTGATTATTTTAAGGAAATGTTTATGTGGATAAGACCAGAACTTACTGCTGTCCTCAGCACGCAACCTAAAGGATGATTCAAGCATCATAAAAAGGTTTGGATTTGAAAGGACTTTAAAGATCATCTTGCTCCAACCCCCTCCCGTGGGCAGGGAACCTTTCCACTGTCCCAGGTTTCTCCAAGCTCCATCCAGCCTGGCCTTGGACATTCCAGGGATGGAGCAGATACAGCTGCTCTGGGCAACCACAGAGGTTGCAACCACATCTGCTGTTCAACTCAGAAAACATCACAGAAAGAAACCAGCAGCAATTCACAGAGATACACACCTTAGATCAAGGGATACCATCTCTCCTTGAATCCCTCTCTAACCAGCTGGTTATTTCCCTGAACTCCAAATGTCCAGAGTTTTGACCAAAAACACACATCCTTTTTCTTTACACACGTGATGTTCTAGATGAGCTATTTAATACAGAAAACTCCTCACATACTCTTGGTAATTCTTAGCTGAATTACCTCCTTGCCTGCCCCCAGTAAGCAATAACCAATTTAAACAGTGTTTTCTCAAGGTGTCAGAAAGCCACAAGAGGTTACATAATGCATGAGTACGTCACAGAGACAGACAGAGCAGGTATCACAATTTAACCACCCTCACATACCTGACAATTTATTAAATCAACCTCTACCCCTAGGACTGCACCACCACCAGCCCAGGTACAAACGGAAGAGGAAATTAAGGCAGTCTTGGATAATTTCATTGGTATTTTGTATGAATTTTGAGACAGACCTTTTTTAAAATTAGAAGTTCCACCACACCATGACAAGTCTCTTGTTCTGTATCTGGCTCAGAATTTCTCAATGCAGTTTAGTACCTCCAACAGAAAAGTCGCTGTAAATTAGCAAGAAATGAACAGGGAACACTGGACAACTGCAGCTTACCAGAACAAATGTTGGCAACTTCATTATCACTTCCAGCACTGACCACATGTATTGCAGGGAAAAAGCTGACCTGGTTAAGGACTTTTCCATTTCTATCTACAATCTCTCAGGGAATGTGCTAAGGAAACGACTGTCCTACTGAATCATTTCAAGAATTTAACAGCCAACATTATTTATTACCATTAAATAGGTCTTGGAAACAAAGATATTTGAGGAGACTCAATAGCTATTAAATCATTGTGGAAAACATGATGCTGAAGGAATTGCAGATGCCTGACACATGTTCTACCGCTTTTTTTCCTTTTTTTTTAAAATATTGAGTGTCTATAAAAAGCAACTCTGGAGAATTACTTAAAAACTTTTCTCACAGAAAAAATTAAAAAATAAAGATATAGGTATAAATTAAAATGGCATCCATAGAAGTACAAAACAATTTTAACTAAAACACCCCACAAAGGCTGTTGGAAAAACTGGAGTCACCAATAATTTCAAAACCTATGCATTAAAAATAACACTTCTCGCTTAGTAAACAAGCTGAAACGCATTTTGCAGAGTTATAGATATTTTAGAGTTGAGTCAATACATAGAAAACCTCACATCATCTTATAATGAGTCCACTTGTTAGCTGGTGTGAAACCAGATTCAGTAAAAGCACCTTGGGTTTTGTTATTACAGCTGCAGGGTAGATGTTGTTATCACACAGAACACGCTCTGCTCAAGACAGTTGGAAGCAGCTCTCTTTAAAATGTGCCACTGAATAACTACAAGTGAATCACAAAGATGGTCTGCAAGGCTTGCTATGCAAAATACCACTGAAGAACACGCTGCTCTTTCGACCAAAATGGAAAAACTCTGGTGCTAAACCTTCCACTAGACCAGGCTGCTCCAACCTCATCAAACCATGAGCTCTTACAGTACCCAGTGAACGTTTTAAATGTATTCCAAAATAATCAAACTACAGCAGCTTCAAAGTGAGGTTCAAACTCTTCTTACACCGTATTACAGACACCACTAATAACTTTTGGAGGCCAAAATCCCTTTCCAGCCCTTCTTGCCTTCAAACCTCTCCTCTTCACACCCCTGCATCACCACAGCTACAACAATAATTCAGACACAACCAAGCCCTGACCTCCTTTGTGCTTTGACACAGTGATAGCAAAGGCAGAGAAAAGATCCACCTTGTGCCCCTCATGCTGAGCTCAAAACCAGGGGACCCAGACAGTTCTGTAAACTGCACTCACAAACCAGGAAATGAGGAAAACTAATGGCCTTTGTAATTAAATGGATGTCTTATAGAAAAGCTGACCAACAGACTTACAAAATAGGAAAATGAGCATTCCTCTTTGACTTAATTTTGTGTCGTCCTGGTTCACTTGTGCAACTCAGCCACCGTTCCTTTTTCTGCAACACAACAAAGAAAACAAATTCTGTTAAAAAAAAGTATTTGCTTGAACTGACGTTTTTCATTACACTGTTAAGTAATGCTTCAAGCTTACTGCTTGCTTTTAATCAACACTGGAAAATATTTCCATCCTTCTTGACTGTTTCTCTGATTTTGATTGCCAGAGTATTCCTGAAACTGCTCTATCAAGATGAACCTTGGAGACTGCTTGGTGATTTGAGCATAACACTGACAAACTAGAAATAAATTCCAAAACCTACTGCAGAGTTGACCAAAGAAATTCCTGGTAGCCACAGATAAAGTGAATAAACATTTTTTAAAAAGGATTTTATTGCTCAAAGATATCTTTGTGGTGTCCTCTTAGATCTATGAGTGTTCCTTGCTGGCCTCCAGCACCTAATTCAGAGAGGTGATGACTTGCTCTTAATTTGGGGTCATACTGGTACCCCTGTGTTCCAGGGACCCTAAGACACTTCAGTGGGAGTTGAATATTGGAAGGGTTGTTCCTTATGTCCTGTTCTGTGCTTTGGATTCAAATCTACAGAAATAGAAAATCTATAGAAAGCTATCGAAATAGAAAAATTATATCCATACCTTACTGGGAATTGAAGCAAAAGAAGAGCAAGCAACCAGAAAAACAAACAGAAAAATCTAAGTAGAGCTATGAGAGTATTGTCCTGAAAAAGAATGCTCTGATGCTACATTCTCTGTTTAACCACATAATTAGCAAACTTCCAGAAGGAGCAAAAAAGAATTCCTCATTCCCTTACTAGGCTAAGCAGCGACCTGGAAGAACTACTCAAACCTCCATGAAGAAGAACTGGATTGCTCCAGATAATGGAATAACTAAATAACTGGGGACAGAGTGGAAAATGAAGCCCAGAACATCTCATCGCTCAAGGTCAGTGCAGTTCTTGTTCTGCTGAAAATGGTAATTTGCAAGGGGAAAAAAAAAGTATTAAAAAAAAGAAAAAAAGAAAAAAAAAAGAGATGGAAAGAGGACGACACCAATCAGAAAGAATCCTGACTGGCTGCCAGGAAGGGATAACAAAGCAACAAGTAAATGCCAGCATGGATTTGTCAAACTGCTTCCCTTCCTTTTCCAAGAAGTTAGAAAGCCCCAGGATACAGAAATAATTCAGTGATCACCAGGATCACCTGAGCATGGCCACTTTTATGCCATGTTATTCTCCCAAAACAACAAAGGATCGTGGATTTGGAGAATAAAACTTAATTTTTCTCAAGTGACCACCAGGTCTTAGCAAATGGCATCCAACCTTCAGCCCCAGAAGGACCCCAACACATGCAGAAAGAAGCTGAGCATCTCATTGATTCATCAGAAAACTATGCACAATAAGTGTTTTCTTAATCCTAAATTCTAAAATCTCAATATGAAATAAATACATGTATCATTAGGGGGTATGAAATCATCTCAACTCATTTATAAGGGGCACAGTTAAACTTGAAGCTATTTAATTTAGCAGAACAATAGAGCTTTATGGAATGTGTTTGTCACTAATGACCTGGACACTATTTTTGTTATTTCTGCCTCTAAAATGCACAGCCAATATTTGTGGTTTTTTTTAAAAAAGGCGTTTCTTTCTTAAAATGTTGTTGTGCAGGAAAAAAAAAAATCAAAAAAACTGAACTCAGAGTACAATCAAATATACAAAGGAAAACCACACAAGTACAGATTTCATCATACTCCTCCAGATTTTAAATAGATCAACATATTTTGGAGATGGGTGTGATTTTATGCGAGCTGTGCCCCTTTAAAATTGGCAACTACATTTAATTCAGTGCTGCTTTATTCCAAGTTCCAAACTCCAGTTGAAAATAGATCTCACAATGGAATCCTACAGCTGAATATACTCTGGGAGAAAATTAATACTTTAATTTATTCCAAGTTCATTTGCATGACAGTATATCATTAGTATATACAAAAAAAAAATATGTATTATACCAACAGAGGGAAAATTCTGTGCAAACAGTGAAAGAAACTCACATCCCACCAGCAAGATGAGCTTGGAACTTGAAGCAACAAAGCTGTTTTATTTCTCTGAGAAACAAACATATTAAAAAACCACCAAAAAGAGCTGTTAATAGTCTAGATTGTCATTTTAAAAAATATTGTACGACCTTAAAAAAACCCACAAAACAAATGTGATTTCTTGCATGTCAGTTATCTCCTAAATAGCTGAAATGAGCCACATGGACAATCAAGTGCAAGCTAAAAATAACTCATGTAACCCAACTCACCTACAAAGCAAGTTTTCCTACCTCACTGATTAACCAGTTGAAGAGGAAAGAAAACACACACTCACTCTGTAACTCCATCAACCTTGTTGTCCTGGAAACAACTCTTCTACAAGAGAAGTACTTAACTGCCAAAACATCTTCTGCTACTACTTTTGGGGTTTTTTTCTTCCCCTACTTCCCTCTCTGCAGTGCTCTCAATGTTTGATAAGCAGCCAGCACCAAACCTAACCCATCAAATGGCACAGAGATTGGATCTCCTGCTCTTAAAAGGAAATAAAAAATTCCATTTGAGTATGCAGCATGTAGGGAACACCAGGTTTGCACAAAGGCTGTGGAACGGACTGTGTCATTTTGTTGTTGTTGTTTGTGTTAAAAAAGTCCTGTTAACTGAACCTTTCATTTTAGGAAATGGCTTCAAGCTGTGCCAGGGGAGGTTAACATTAGATATTAGAAAGAATTTGTTCATGGCAAGAGTGGTCAAGCACCAAACAGGCTGCCCAAGGCAGTGGTGGAGGCACTATCCTGTAAGTTTAAAAAAAAAAAAAAAAAGGATATAGCAATTTAGCAATTGAGGACATCATGTGGTGGTGAACATGGTGGTGCTGGTAAGCTGATGAATGGATTTAAGTGACCTAAAAGGTCTTTTCCAGCCCAAAAACTCCATGATCCCATATAAACCAGCAAACCTACAAGGTGAACTCAGCCTTCCTTATTCATGTACCCAAGTACCTGCAGTGAAGGGCCTTTATCTCCCACTCTGTGGGAGTGCAACAAGGTCATAAACCACAAAAAAATGATCTTCTTTAGGTTTTATGGTTACTGTCCGTGTTTAGAAGGGAACAATACTTTCAAACCCAGGTCTTGGCAATTTCTGCCACATTGCTGGCCACGAATTCAAAAAAAAAATTCCATGTCCCAGTACTGGAAACATTTGTGCCTTCCCTTTCTTGGTTTAGAATCCTTTTCTGAAACAGGTCTGTGCTTTTAATAGAAGATAAATCTAAATTTTAACCTCTGTAGGAAACCAGCTTTATCTAGGAAACAGCAGGTTAGTTTCAGACCACAACTTTACTCTCCACATCCCTCCATACATTGCTCTTTTTGCTATGCAGCCTGTTTGGGTCAGACACATCAATTTGGCCTTACCTAAATTGCTCAATCCACTGCAACAAATATACTTTAACTTAAACACTTATAAATTCCTTATTTATAAACTAGCAGTGTTTTAAAAAAATTGGCATCCAAGCCTCTCAGTCAGCCTGCCCACACACACTGCCCACACCTGTTTCTCCAGTAAAATGCCAGAGTCTGCACTGGTCTCAGATGGGAAAAATCACAATTCACTGTTTTCAAAAGAAACCTGTTAATTACCAAAATTATTCCCACAGCAAGTCCAAAGGGATTTTGGTGCCTTCACAAGATCCATGATTAAACATAGTTACACTCAGCAGTTTTATTCAGTGTGGTATCTCTGCTTTATTATCTTCACTCTGCTAAGGAGAGCTGCGTTTTCCCTCGACTTCCTCCAATTCCCAATGTATTCATGAGGGTTTTTTCATGTTCCTTAGCAATGCTGGTTATCCATTGTTCTGTACCTTTGATTTTCATATAAACCCTATCTAATTGTTACCCAGAGCAGCTGTGGCTGCCCCAGCCCTGGAAATGTTCCAGGCCAGGCTGGATGGAGCTTGGAGCAACCTGGGATAGTGGAAGGTGTCCCTGCCCATGGAAAGGGGGCTGGATCAAGATGGTCATTAAGGTCTTTTCCAACCAAACCATTCTGTGCTTCTAATATGCTTTTACATTGATTTAAAATTGTATCCTTGCATCTGTTTTTCCAATGACTTATCTTTAATATATCAATGTGACTCACAGCTTTGTTTTCCCTTTTGTCCTGTGATTTTATTCTAGACGTTGTAAACCTTCAAACCTCTGTATTTCTAAGCATATTCTGGAGAGATCACAGAATCATAAATGGATTGGGTTGGAAGGGACCTCCAAGATCCTCTATTTCTTACCCCTGCCATGGGGAGGGACACTTTACACTATACCAGGACCTTCCCCTAGACCAGGTCATATGTTTAGCTGGCAAAAATTAGCTGAAATCCCAATTAATCAGGATCTGGAGTTGATACCAATTAACAACTACCACTAAGAGAGATCCAAAATCTCAACCTCACAGTATTAAGCTTCCTCTGCAAAGTGCCACAGTTAGGGATTAAAATTTCTCATCTCCTCCACTACAAACCCAGCTGCCTCAGCAGCATTTTACTGCACAGGCTCAATAAACATTCCATGTGTCACCAAGCAGGCAGGGAACATCCACACAAGTCTCTCTTAACACGTCAAAGATCCAGGGATTTTCAGCATCCCATCCCTCGTACTCAGAGGAGGAAGGTATTTGGAAACTTGGTACATACGAGCAAATTTAAGATTATGAAAATTGTGGTGCCTTACAGTAGCAGCGCTTTTACACGCGTTACAAACACTGAATTTTGTCAAACTATTTCCAGTAAATGCAGTTTTTTTTCCCCACCTCAGCACTAGAAATTCCCAATGCATAGTATAAATCGTTATGTTCTGCACTTTCTAGCTCAAATGAGGACCAGGTTTTACCAGCCAGCTTTTAGGAATGTTCAGACCCTCCCTCTCTGGTACAGAAGCAGAGTACACTGATCTCAGGCTGGAAAAACATATCTGATACTGATTTTTTCCTTATTTCAGGCAAAAATTCCAAACC